ATTTGAAATATACACAAAAATAATGTATTTTAATGAACTATACATAATATACTTTGATTGTATTATTTTTACGAATTAGTATTTTGCAGTAAGATTTGATTACGTTGCTTAGTGGCCCGACATGGCTAGGTGGTTAGGGCGCTCGACTCGCAATCTGAGGGACGCAGGTTCGAATCCCCGTCCCACCAAACATGCTCGCCTTTTCAGCCGTGGGGGCATTATAATGTGATGGTCAAACCCACTATTTGTTGGTAAAAGAGTAGTCCAAGAGTTGGCGGTGGGTGGTGATGACTAGCTGCCTTCCCTCTAGTCTTACACTGCTAAATTAGGGACGGCTAGCGCAGATAACCCTCGTGTAGCTTTGCGCGAAATTCAAAATAAACAAACGTTGCTTAGAAAAAAGTTAGCCATGAGATAGAATACACATAATTAAAAAGACACTTCAGTTTCCATATACCATATAAATATTGGTGATTAAATTACTTTAGGACGTCAGACACTTCCGCTAGTAACGTGCCAAATAAAGGAAATGCGTACAAATGGAAACAAAAGTTTTGCAACATATAAGTTGAAGTCCAAAGATATATCTCTGTAATACATTTAATAGTAAAATTATATCCATTAAATAAAATTTAGTCCCCCGGTGAGACGGCGGTATGTCTACGGACTTACAACGCTAAGATCTGGGATTCGACTCCCCTCGGTGGACTCAGCAAATAGCCCAATGTGACTTTGCTCTAAAAAACAAAGGAAAACAAAATTTCAACTAAATTAGTGCTATAAAAAGATGCCTATATTTTTGTATCAGTTCAAATTCTCCCGGTGGAACAGCGGTAAATTTAATAACTTACAACGATAAAATCCGGTGTATATAGTAGATATTCCAATGTGGCTTTGCTCTAAGAACCAAACAAAAATCAGTTCAAATGTTTTCTTTACATTTCATTAACATATGTCCTGAAGTTATAGAAGAAAATTAGTATTGTTTACTGGTTCGTGGTTTAGTTTTTTTATCCTATTATTTAAAACATAAATGCTGAATTTTATAATATTGTCACCAAATATGGCATTTTATGTCTAGATATAATTTTGAAATTAAATACATCAAAACTCTTACAAATGGTCGGGTTCTAATTTGTAAAGAGTTATCATGGGTCATAAGGAAAGATCGGGTCGGCCTTACCTTAAGACTAAAACCTGTATTTTATACATGTCGCTAATGTAGAAGTTAGAGTTAACATACTACCCATTTTAAGGTTGAGCGGACTTTGTTTTCTAAAGTAATACTCTATTTATTTGGCACATTTAATATTTTCTAAAACATTATATAGAAGTTTGGAACAACAGTGACAGCGTCCTGCTATCTGTGCTTGAACGGTAACTACTTGACAAGGAAAACTCCATAGGTATAATGAAATAAGTTACATCGTACTGGTTCTGGGAATGTAATAACTTCCCTGATCTGTCATTATTTGGATCAAATACTAACATTAAGAGTAAACTAAAAACCAATTTTGCCAATGCCTGAGCCCCCCAGTGGCACAGCGGTATGTTTGCGGACTTACAACGCTAGAATCCGGGTTTCGATACTCGAGTTGGGCAGAGCACAGATAGACTATTGTGTAGCTTTGTGCTTAATTACAAACAGACTCTTTAATGAGAAATTCAAGGCCCGTAGATACAAACCAATGCCTGATGATGGTATTGTTTGGTACAGGAAGAATTAGTAAATGCATGCCTGCCTTCATTGAGGCTATATTAGGCAGTTTGTTTGTTTATGAATTTTGCGCAAAACTACTCGAGGACTATCAGCACTAGTCATACCTAATTTTGAAATAATAAACTAGAGGGAAGGCAGCTAGTCAACATCACCCACCGCCATTTCTTCACCAACGAATAGTGGGATTGACTCTCACATTATAATGCTCATACGGTTGAAAAGGCGAGCATGTTTGGTAATGAGATTCGAACCCGCGACCAACAAACTGTGAGTCAAGTGCCCTGACCACCAGGCCTAGTGTGGCAGCGATTTCATCCACAAATGGGAGGGAGGAATTTATATTTATTTTAACAGTGGAAGTAGGTCCCCCCTCCGTTTCCTTTGAATTCGAGCGCTCCCTGTTGCCAATATTTGGCGCCAATTGTCCCTTATAAACGATATATTTGTGTAATATAAAAATTATAAGTACTTGGAATGTTTTAACTTTGGCTGAGCATAAAATAGGTACAGCATGAAATCTAGAGTAGCAAGTGTGATGAAACATCCCAGTACGACTAAAAGTCCTTTTAATACACTCCTTTCTTTGGAAACCAACGTTAAACATTTTATAAGTAAGATGTTTAGATGTTTCCAATCGTAATCCCATAATTCATCACACTTGTTTCCTAAAAATGTATGAAAATAATTTTTGTTGTATAAATTGAAAATATTCAAGCATTTTCCAAAGTGAAAAATATACTGCTCAAAATATGAAAAGGACCACTCTTAGAAATGAATATAGTAAATAATAGACGCCTAATGCCCAATTCATAGTTGCATACTTTATTTCTTTTACATGTTTTCAGATACACACTGCTCAGCTTTGCCCAACCTGTCTTTACACAAAAGAACGTGACTTAAAGGTGTCCCTCAAAATGAACACTTTAGATATGTGTAGAGGTTTTTTTTTAATTATTCCTATAGACCAGAAAATAACTAACGAAATATATCTTACCAATAGCGGATTTGAGTAGCATAGATACCGCATGCTTCTGATGAGTCTCTGGATATCGATCTGTGGCAGGTGGTTCCATTCCTCTAAAAGGGCATTTTCGTGGAGAGTCACAGACTGGACGGGGAACGGTGAAATAGCATATTTTGGAAGGTGTTCTAGACATATTAGATTATATTCATTCTGGAATTAACACTGTCTAAGGTTTGTTGTCCTTTTTCAACCACCCTATGGATTCTATGTGGCTTCCAAGTGTGAAAAATAACACTGGCCCACACGAGGCAGTAACAACATAAGTTGAGACATTCCTTTTTGTAGCATACCGAAGACACGTGGCAATGCCTTCATATGTCATTGTTTTCTGATACATATTTGATACATAATACGGTAATTGCGGAAAATATGAATGTTGGAATAGAAAAATTAAAGATAATAAAAAAATAAATTGCATGGCACAGAGTGTTTCATTTTACAAAAATCCCTTTATTGGATGAGTCTCTAATTCGCATGGTTGAGAACCCTAAACCATTATTTTTAAAAAAAAGTGTGTATGTGTCTGCCTATAACTGGCAATTCACTGGACCGATTGTCACTAAATCTAGTGTGTACCTTTAGACTCTCTCTCCCCCACGAGGAGTTACGGGGAGGGGTACATTCGGACCTACCTCTCTATTTCACCCTTAGGGTCTTCGATGTCTTCCTAATGTATTGACCGAGAACGTCATGTAGTAAGAGATAATAATAAGTTGGAAAACAACGGTTTATAAGCACAAGTGATTTATTTCGAGGGGAACATGCTACATATTTCGACATAACATTGGTCTGTTTTCTTCGAGTATGATCTGTAGCTAAGCGATACAGGGTTTATACAAAGACAAAAGAGTTTAGTGTGAAGAAAATGATGTTACCAGGTAACAGAGTTATAGATAAAGATTAAGGCTGGTCAAGTGTATGAGCGATGAACAAACTGAGCCAATTACGGCTGATGTTGCTAGGGCCATTATCGCGATTTAGTGAAAGGTCACTTGCTCTTTCCTTTTTAGTTTTGGACGAAATTTGTCTCCTTCACCAACCCAAAACTAAAAAGGAAAGAGACTGTTTAGAAACTAAAGAAATCATCAAAGCAAGCGATCTTTAACTAAACCGTTATAATGGCCCTAGCAACATCAGCCGTATTTGGCTCAGCCTTAACCTTTATCTGTAACCCTGTAACCTGGTGACATAATTTCCTTTACATTAAACCCTTGTGTCTTTTTTTTCTTTATATATGAACCCTGTATCGCTTAGCTACATAGCATACCCGAAGACAGACCAATCACTTCATTATGCTCATAAACCGTTATTTGCCAAGTTATTAGTATATTAGCACAATGTGCTTCCTTACTCAAGTAGTAAGAGATAAATAACCAGAAATTAAAACTACCCACCCATCTTTGGAATCTACTTCCCTTGCCTGTCATAGGATTCGGAAAATAATCAATATATTAAGAAACAGTGATCGTAGTAAATTTAGAGCAGTATATACTTAGAATTGTACCTAAAATATTTAAGACAAAGCTATACATAAATTAAAAGGAATGCAAGCTTTTTTCGTGTGGTGTTTATGTTCAAAGAAGGCTTTAATTTGTTTTGTTTTTTCATTGTTAAACATTTTCCAATTTATCAATATCATGTATATATATTTTCCGCTAGGTGTATATATGTGAAGGATCTGTGTCCAAATTGCAATGGATTATTTGCCGTGCAAATATCGTTAAAAATGTGTTAAATTGTTTGTTATGTAAATATTGTTCGAAATGTGGTAAACCACTTTCTGTGTAAATATTATTCAGTTGTAAGGAAATAGTCCCTGTCTTGTTATTGTTTATGATGTGAGGGCTTAATCCTTTTGTAAATGTTATTCAAATTGTTGTAGATTGATTGCTAGATAAGCATTGTAATAAATGTTGTGGACCCATTTCTGTATATATATTGCTTATAAGATAATGGATTAATCCCCGTGTAGTTACTGATGAAATTATGGGCATTAATTGTTGTTGTAGAAATTATAATAAGACTTTTTTTAACAAACTAATTTTGTCGTTTTCACTAAAATGGCGTAACTTAAAATAACCCACGTTTTTCGTAATGTAAGCACGAGAAATGCCTCTTCAGCGGGTTGCAGCTCCTTCATGATTTGGGCTTTTTATGCGAAATTCAACTAAACAAATTCTTGAGATTTTTTAAGTGCCGACTTTATGAAAAATCTCATTACCGTTATCAAGTTGGTTATGTTTTACATTCATGCAGATTTTGGAATTGTCCTGGGTTGTCGGATTTATGTGAAGGAAATCACCAACAAAACTGGTCTAGAGAAGGATTGTAATCTCCAGGAAGGTGATGTTATTATGAAAGTAAGTGTAATACACTTTCCAAATGATTGACTTCGCCACAGTTCAAAATAATGTAAACTGGTGAAAAAAAAAGCATATAAATAACTGTGAAACTCTAGCTTAAGAATGCTTTAAGCTTAGTTAAAAACGCTAAGTTTGAAAAGACATTATATTACTTCTGTAGAATAATTGATTACAGGTTTTCTAAGCAGTAAAAATCTGAAAGTGCTAAAATTATATCTAGTTACATAAAAACGTGTATTTAAGTTTAAAGACAGTCTATCACTTAACATTATAATGTTCAAATATCCCTAAACTTAGTTTGATAGTTATTAGTAAAATGTGAATGTGTAAGACTGTGTGTGGCCTAGGCAATATTAGTTTTTGTCATATACTAAAGTGACTTATTGAATTTATAAAGAATTTCGACAGCCTGTACGATAAAATCACCTATCAGTCAAATATATCGTGGGATCCAAAACAGGCTTACTGTAACGACTTTGAAATTTTAATTAAACTTATCATTGCGGCCACCCCTTTTTCGTAGAGATGTGTTTTACACGTCTTCTTTTTTCACAGATCAATAACTCTGGAACAGATAACATGAGTATTAAAGAGGCCCGAAAGCTAATTGAAAATACCAAGGAAAAACTTCATCTACTAGTAAGGCGGGAACCGTGCTCTTCAGAACAAGTTGAAGAAAACCAGAGGTGGTCACGTGCTCATTCATTTGAGCCTGGTAGTAACCCAAATAAAGGTTAGCAAGCATTGTTTTACACCACGTTCGTTTTAATTTTTTCTAACTTATGACCGTATTACTTTTAACCTAATTTTACGAACTTTTTCTAAAAGCAGAAATGTCTGCCACTTTTTAAATACCAGCATAAAACCTTTTATCTTGCCGCCCCGATGGAAAAAATTTTTTTTCACTACTTATATAAGATTGTAAGAAAATTTAGAGAAATCCTGATAGATAAACTTACTGCTCAGTTATTTATCCATTGTGAAACGTTTTCAGATTTTTGAGAGAGGGATAACGCATACCAAGATGACGCGGGTATTGTGTAATGGGCGTGTAAAGCGAGTATTGTCTTCTTTACATATTTAATAGTATTGTAACATTGTTCTTTCATTGGGCGGGTTCTTTTAAGTTATTTGGTGAGAATAATTCGACATCCAGTCCACGTAACGGTAACAAATTAATTTATTTCTTCATTAACGTTTCTACAAGCTGCCTACACCACACTGTTGTAGCTTGTAGGCCTAAATTTACAAATGACGTTTGAACGGAAATGCCTCTTTAATAGTACTACAACTATCGTACAAATAAATTTCCTCGTGCAGTTTCATGGCTAATCGATCAAGTAATTGGATACACGCAATAACTGACACTTAGCCAAATACATCACTGAATAATTAGTACTGAACCAACTGACTGAATGCTTCACTGGTTCTCATATCTATAACTGATGTATTCTTTTTAAATATTCGATTACTAGATTTTCGTGACGTGATTTAGAACATTCATATAAACTTTTCATGCACCCTCTAGCTAACATCTAAAATATAGCTTACACCATGAAGTTCCATGTAGTGACTAAAAGGTTGTTAGAATTGTAAGTATCATTAGAGACTGGAGTGGAAGTCTGCCAAACAATACTTGTCACACTTCAAGGAGTTTCTGTATCAGGAAGAATAATTGTCTCTCTCTCTGTTATTCACAGGGAAAGTATTTTTTATTAGAATTATCTAAATTTCTAACAGTATGGATTTGTAAAGAGTATAATAATTTCATGGATTTTAGCGTTAAATGATGTATAAAATAACCAAACAACGAAATTTGAAACAGTGATAGCATTATGTGACTTCTATTGTGAAGCACAAAACTACTGTTACGACAGCGGAAGTCACGTGACCCTGGTAACACGTCATGAGTTTCTAGAACGTTCATGTCCCTTCCTGAAGACTCGAGTGTTTTCTAGATATGCGGTATTCTTGTATATAAGACAGCCAAGAAGTGACGGCAACAATGTAATTGAACTGCACACAGAGATTGACGATTGAGTCCAGCACGTGAGTCGTTCGTTGTGAATTATAGCGTTTGTTATAGCGTGACTGTGGAAATTAAGTGTATTGCAAAGTTGTATTCAGAAAGAATAAACCAGTTTTATCTAAGAAAGGACTTGTATCGCTAAAGTTTCTTCGGAAAGAATTTTTACGGAAAATTAACTAACGACCAGAGACGTAACACTACACACAGGGTTATTTGTGCTGTGCCCACCAAGACTATCGAAACTCAATTTTTGGCGTCATAAGTCCTCAGATTTACCGCTGAGCCACTAAGAGGCATAGTAATTTATGAATCAATATGTAAATTTTTATTATAAATGTAATACATCTTTAAAATGCAGGAATAAGTCATATATATATATATATTCAAGCATAGCTTGGCCGCCTCAGCGAACTTGTGAACCTCGAGATAATTTTGCATGGTAACTTGTAATCCTCATCATACCGTATACAATAAGCCTGTCAACAATTAATTAAAAGGAGAAATAATATTATGAACTTTGCTATTGATTATAGTTTCGTTCGTTAATTTTGTTGTATTTACCTTTTTTTAGTTTGAGCTGTTTTTTAAAGGTATATTCAGATTGTTATATTCTACCCCTGAATATTTTACTAGAAACGACGCCTTCAAATCTCAATGACGTTACTGGAACTAGGCCTCAGTGCAGTAACCAAAATCTCTATGTTCAGCCACCCACTAGAGGTCAGCATTTGTTACAAGTTTTGCTAATATTTTTATTTATTTGCTTAAAATGTGTTTGTTTCTTAAAATATATTCTAGGGAATATATTTTTCGTCGGACTCTTCTGTGATGTACTCTGTGTAACTTAAAATACATTAAGAATTACTTATTATTAAGTTATTATTAGATGTAATCCTTTACAAACAGGGACAACACGTCAAACCAGTCTAAATAACGTGGAATTTTTCTTTAATTCAGACTCGTGATAAGCTGTCATGTTCTGCTGTTAGTAAATCTTCACTGTGTTTCTTTCTTTGCAAATCTTTTTCTAGCAAGTACAGCTTTTCCCTTTGAGCTTTCTTAAATATTCGGTTGTTTTTGAATGGAAAAGCTAATGTAAATCTTTTGAAAGTCTATGTAAATACGGTTTAGTTAGTATTTTAAAATACAAAAAATACCATACATGAAAAAACGTTGTTAACATTTTTAAAATGTTGCATATATATGTTAGGAAGCTGAAAAATATACATTCTTCGAAAACTGAACTTGCAAAAAGTTTTCATCAACAAAGTAAATACATGCTCTGCCAGAACAAATCTTTGTTTATAGGGAAAAAAATCTGAGCAAACAATGTTTTGAGGATTTATGTTAAGGACAGTAGTGAAGAGACTAAGATGGTGATATTAAAAATAGATCAAGCATATGTGTTTAATCAAATAAAAGTGAACTTCGTTTTTTGTTGATATTTTTTTAATGACAGGTGATTTTCGCCCTCCTCCTCCTCCTGACCGTGCTGATGGAAAGAACAATCTAACCAGGTAATCTTATGTTTGATAACTTATCTAAATTATGCACTTTTTTTTTACCAAGTAATTTGAACCTTGCATACACTTCAGCTCTTACTAACAATCATGTTTATACATTGTCGTATTTTCCTGGCGCTCGGTCTTCAGAGCAGTAAGTTAGGGCTCGCTAACTGATGCTCCGAGAATATCACGCTACAGAGTGAGTGATTGTGTATCTCTGTGAACTCTGACTGAGATCATTATAAATAAAGAATTGAAATACAGTAGGTTCACAAGAACAATCTTTATTCAATAAAACAATCAAAGTCATGAACACGGTACACAAAACCCAATGCAAGCTACACTAAAACGACAGTAAAATGTAAAATAAACAACCCCAGTAAGTAAATAAATACAAGTTAAACTAAATAACAGACTTATGAACTCCCAAAGGTCTGTAGGACTAAGATTAGCTGCCTCAAAACTCTAAGAAACAATATCAAAACTTTAAGGGAAAAGCTTGTTTAGCAGAATATAATCTAGCTTTAAATACTAAAAATACAACAGCATCAAGAAAGCCATAGAGAGTGCATGGTACAGTCCTGTACTACACATTTGTGACATGAATCTGAGAGTGTGCATAATTGCAGTTGCAGCTTCTACTAATTATCTTGTTTTTGTACTACCTTACACAGGTCTCAGGGTGGACGTAATCGTGGACCCCTAATGGACATATCTCTTAGTCAGCTTGACCAACCAGCCACTCCTTTACTTACAGGGCATGGTCATTCCAGAGGTCCAATCTCGGGTGATGAAGATGAGCCACCTCCTAGGCCACCACCGCTTCGTGGAGAAGGTGGGTATCTCTTGTTGTTGGACACATCCCTTCCATTCTAGCACAGTTCTAGGACAATTTTTATTAGTAGGGAACCAGTCTTTGTTTTTTTCAGATGTAGGCATCTGTTGGCAGATAATGAATCATTACATTTCCTATTATCTGTTATTAATAACTTACATTATATGCTCATAATAACATACTATTTCTAAAACCTAAACCACTAGTACAAAACAAACTGATGTCATTACTCCACAGACAGTCATATGAAGATGAATAATATTTAGCTTAACTTTGTACAAACTGTTTGTTGTTTCCAAAGAAATAAGTGAAGTATTGTAAACTTGTGATATCGGTAGATGCTGAGCTACAATGTATAAATAGTTAAGTTGGAAGTTACATATGTAAGAAAGTAACGGGAGTAAGGTAACTGTCTGCATGACATTATGAACAGGCTATACCATGTAAATTACAGATGCCCTGTTTCTAATAAGGTGGTTTTTGTAATGTATAAAAATAAGAAAATATTATAACTCATTGTATTAACTGCTCAGTACATAAATGTCATTTGTACATTTGTGTTATGTGTTGTTTATAATGTTTAACTGAACAGTTCCCAAGAATCCACAAGTCTCTTCATTGTTTTGAGCTAGTAGAAGCTAATGTTATCATTCTAACAGAACCATAAATTGTCACAGTATGCATAGTCTTATTGTTTCTTCTTGTTTTTTATTTAGATTTAGATTTTTCATTATTTAACCTGAAAGTCCAGTTTCCTCATTTTCAAATTACCACATATTTTTGGCAATTTTTTGTTGAGAATTTAGTTTACACCCCTTTCAGTATTTAAAATAAACAAAAACAGTTGCCAAAAATCAACCCAAAAAATCTAGAGATTAACTGTACAGGTTGTTGCAATGTATACTGGTATCTAGAAACATGATGCTTACTATGAAAATCGATTCTAGGTACTATTTATATTAATAATCAGAAATAAAACTGCAAAATTCAATTCTCACAAAATAAGATAAAGGAAGTGACAATATTTTAAGGAATAAAGAATTTGTGGAAATAAAGGGAGCCAATAGAATTAAATGATCAACATATATTTCTCTGTGTATATCATTTGCATTAGATTTATGATTAGAATTTATTGTGACATCTTTTGAGGATTAGCTCCCATCAAGGAAATGTTTTAGAATCAAACTGGAATATCTTTATTTTGTTTAATTTTCAGATAATGTTCCAAGGCGAGATCATGACCCCCTCTCACCTCGAGGCAAAATACCAGTGTAAGTAAATTTGATTTTCTTTGCCATCAAATATAATAAGCCACTTGCAGTTTGGAATTACTGCTGCAACAGATATATTTTTATCTGTATTGTGTCTGCCTCAGGTATCAAGTCCGAAATGATAGCATTATATGTCATTAAGTTTATTGCTGAGTCACTGGGAGACACTTGACAGAGAGAAAATTTGTTTTTTATAAAACCCTTTTTCTCACTTATCCTACTAAGTGATGTAAAAATCATTCATTATGTTTTAACCCTGCAGTTCTTAAAACACATGTCCATTAAAGATAGAACAGTATCTGTGTATTTGGCTTTAAAGAGCATATTAAGTTTGTTTGTTTGTTTACAGTGAAGCACAAGATCACACAATGGGGTATATCTGTGCTGTGCCAACCATGGGTATCAAAACACAGTTTTTTATTTTACAACCCTTCAGACTTGCCGCTGAAGGGCAACATATTGCAATGTTTGTGAAGGAGATTATATACAGGGGATATCTTTTTGTCAGTTTAAATAACTGGATATTTAGCCCCCTATAATAGATTTGATAAAAGGAAAGAACGAGCATGTTTGGTGGGATGGGGATTTGAACCCGCGACCCTCAGCTTGCGAATCGAGCACCTGGCCATGTGTGTGTGTGTGTGTATTACCCACATATTAATTATAAAACTTCCACATGGATTTTTATCCTAAGTTAGTGGAAAGTAGAATTTTGTTATAATTATTTGTAAACATTATGTAATACTTTTTTGCTGCACTGCAAATTTAATTTTTAGTTGTGTTTTAAATGTTTTATGCTCACACTTTTATATGAAATCATTGCATGGCACACAGTATGCTTGTGTAAAAGATTTCCTATCAGTTTATGTGTATAATATAATGTCTGAGTTTTATTAGGAGGGAAATTATTTGCTTTAATAAGCATAAAAGTTATTTGGCATTGAAAACGTTTCCTTTAAGAAGAAATTCAGTAAAAAAAATTTTTATGGAGATTATTCTATCAAAAAGTTAAACATTTCACTGTTTAAAACGAATGATTTTGTCTAATAATAAAAATAATTATTGAAGCAATGGAAAATCTTAAAACCTGAATTTCTACTAGCTTAGAAATCACCTAAGGTTAGCATAAAAATTATATTTGTGAAGACCATCAATCTTTAAAAAGTGAATTTTATTTCTTTTTATTCAGCCCTGAACCAAGACATATCTCCTTCCAAAAAGATGGAAGTGTAGGAATAAGGTTAACAGGAGGAAATGAAGTAGGAATTTTTGTCACAGCAGTCCAGCCTGGTAGTCCAGCTTCACTACAAGGTCTACAGCCTGGTGACAAGATATTAAAGGTAAGTTTTATGGTTATTATTTAACAACTGGACTGCAATGTTCTTAAATTTTCTATAGTTTGGTGACAAAATATTAAAATTGAAGTTATATGATAGTTGTGTAGCGATTTCATAGTGTTTTTAATTTGATGAATACATATTAACACTTGTCACACTAGCCAACCTGGCATCTTGATGTATATCCAAGAAAATGAGTCATTCCAGAGAGGTTTGAGTTGTTTTGATTAGACAAAAAGAATACCTTTGGCACTATTTTCAAGGTCTAGGTTGTTGAATTAGACCTGTGACTGGACCCTTGAACTCATTCAAGACCATAAGAGCCAACATGGAGAAAATAACTTGTAAATGTAAATTAAAACAATGTAGCAATGAAACATGTTTGAAATGTTCTAGATGTATTTGTGAATGTGATGGTTTAAGTGTAGCATTTAAGCTAAATCATGGGTCCAGGTTGGATAAGGGAAGAACTTATTCGAAGATATTCCATTCGATTTTACATAACAGCTGAATCGGAGATTGATCAATTAATTACTGCATTGACAGTGAAACATGAAAAAAAGGGGCACAATAATATAGTTATCTTGAAAAAAAAGGGATTGGAATAATATATAAGAAATCAATAGTTTCAATATTTGGTGAAACTAATGGCACACTAAAGCTCAAAGATGGAGTGTTGAAATTGAAGCAGATGCATGATGCATTAAAAGATGATTTTCCGAGCAATTCTGAAATTAAAAATGGCATTTCTGCAATGAAGAGTAAATATAAGAAGGATGGTATAATGCCAAGTATGGTACCACCTTAGTATAATCCATATAGATTTCATCATGTCTGATTTTTGTTGACATTTATTGTTTTTTATTTTAGAAGTTGTGCCAAACTTCATTCATTGAGGTCTATCAAAATAACCCTAAATCACCCCTCTGTTAACCATCCTAGGCTCAGTACTAAAAGATGCTGTGCTGGCTTGTGTGGCAAGTGTTAAAAGTAGTTGTCTGGTAGTATCTGATAGTACAATTCCTAGTTAAAGTCTCCAGCAAGGTGAGAAGTTAATAAAATAAAAATCCTGTGAGGATTGTGAAAGTAGAGAATTGATCAGTGTGATAATAAGATGAAAAAGGTTTCATAGATAGCGTGGTTAGGCAATACATAGCAATTAGTCTGCTGTGAATCTGAGGATCCATGGCTCATATCCTGTTTCCACAAAATTGCACTCTATACTTTCAGTCCATGGTGTGTTGTAGGAGAGATGGACATATCCCACTATTTGGTCATAAAGAGTTTCCCAAGAGTTGATGTTTAGTGCTGTTGGTTTGTTGCTTTCCCTCTAGTCTATCAGTTTAAAGTAAGGGACAGCTAGTACAGATAGCTTTTGTTTAGCTTTGCACAAGTATCTGAAACAAGCAAGAAAACACAGATTACAAGCTAATATTTCAGCTTCATTCACAGGCAGTGCCAGATTTAGACTTAGTTAGGCCCTAAGCTATATAAAGCTTGGAGGCCCCTTGTTAAAAAGTTACACCAGAAGGTCTCACAAAGGTGTGTACCGAAACAGGACCTTGGGTCGCCACAAAAAAATTAAAAACATATATATGCCTTTTAATTATTTAATAGCAAGGTGTTTAAAGTGAAAAATAGAAATTATTTTCAAATGAATGCATTTACTGATTACATATTTATCAATCTGAAATTTTGTGAGGCCCCTGCAGA